GCCACTTTAGTCAGAGGGTTTTCCCCTATCGTCATATGTTTAAAGAATTCAAAAACTATAAACATACTTCTGATTTTATATATACATTTCTTTTGATAATATGCATTATACAGTATATTTATATTCGCATATCGATCACTCGAGTTGCATAGTTTAGTTTAATAGCCACTGATTGCAATGACATACCAAAACAATAGGTTTATGCATACAGAGCAAAGATCATTATTGAATGATATTATATTAGAGATTCTTTCTTATTTTGCAAAGAAATCATATCTATTCACATTATTTAAGAGTTAATTTATAAAGTGAAGAACTTATATTGAGCGTTCAGGCTTTGGCTTGCAGTCTCCAGAGAGCATTTATATAGCAGTGTTGGTGAATGTCAGAGTGAATCTCAGATGATACACACCATCTGCAGTGGAAACGGCTGACCGTGACCTATCTGTGTCTGTCTCAGAGGCTTTGCTTACATCATGGGCTGTGCCGCTGCCATAGAGAGACCAATATGCTGGACGAGGGCAGACAGACCAGCTTAAATGTTGTGCCTTGATATGGCTAAAATGCAAATAGAGAAGAATACAGACGATAAAGTGGAGATTGTGCCAGTCATTTTGTCGATATGAGTGAGCCTTTAATCAGACGGCCTTAAAATATTCTCAATGCTTGAGATTACAGACAGACAGAAAGACATAATTAAAGCACTTTCCCCGAATGACACATTCAACCCATTATTATTTATGGTTTTCTATATTTTTACAAGTATTTTGTATAGTATAGTAAATATATAGTAAAGCAAAAGTATAGTAAAGTAATAGTAATATACTATAAATATTATTTATACTTATATCAACATTATATACGTGGTGTGTATCTGATGAGAACATAGTGTCCTATATAAGTGACCCAAGCCAAGAGATTGCGCCACATGACCCCACCCCCTGCGATGCCTTAAATAGATTGTGAACGTTGTTTTTAATGCTTTAACACATTTGTTGATGTGTGTGGTTGTTTGTATGGAGTAGATCCAATGTATTTATTAGTTACACATATTTATTCTTTATTTAAGCTCACATCTTAAGTGTTACTTGTGAACAAATGACATAAATAAGTGGATTTCAGTGGGGATTCAGATAGTTGATCTGTTGTAGTCGTCTTTGTGCCAATGTGTGTGAGTGGACAACAACAAAACAGCCAGATGGGAAATAGCAGTGAAAGATGACTGAAAATGAGAGGAGTGAATTATATTGAATATATATGCAGATGTTACATTATGACAAATCATTCAATCAAACAAGACCGCCAAAAAAGAGATGTTTTCAGTTCAACCAATCCCAGAGAGTAACATAGTGTCGGCTCAGATCCGGCCCACATCTGATACACATTGATCCACATGTACTAGATGTGGCCCGGATCTGGGCCGACACTGTCTAGGATAGATCTGAATCATTTGAACCAATCATTTTTTTATTTGTGTTGAGCTAGTTGCAAAGGTATAGATAGATCTACTAGTTATTTTCATATTCATTTCTGCTCATAATCCGGAAAAACAGACTTTATCCCAAATTGTGTTTTCTATAGATGTGGTGATCTTCCTGAATCTCCCCCTCTTGTCTTGTACTGTACGGAATGGTTAAATCTCTACCATTGTGTGCATGGAGCAGAGCGTTTGTGTGTTTTGTACCAGTATGCTGTATTTTTATGATACATACTGCAGTTGTACCATTTTAACTGAATGTAAAACAGAAAGGTGGAAAGTTCTCGTATCATTTATATGAAATGCAATAGATATGATGCCTCTAGAAAGTTTAACAGTTCGGTGCAAATCACCATTGCTGGGAGACCCTTTATTGCCGGGGAAGATTAGACTGGATTATGTTGTTGTTTTCATGGAAATATATTGCACAGTCCTCCCAGAATTTAAAGCCTTTACGCATTCTTAACATTCTCCCCTCAAATCCCAAGTTAACTCCCGGTCACTTTGAGGATCAGTGCACCTTTTAGGAGAAAAAGTGCTGAGGTAAAAGCTTAAACACATAGTTCAGGGAGTTTATCGCCCCCTGCTGCTGGACTTTGCCATTTTATTTACTATCAGTGGCAAACCTTGGGTGGGAATCGCAGGAATGTGTGCATGCTTGACGCCATTGTGGTAAATCTTTGTCTTATTTCAAGTCCCTTACGACAGTTTTATGTCACTTATATCAGCTTTATGGCTGTGTTTTGTGAAAACTGGTCAGAAACTTTACAACCCGCATTAGTTTCAAAGGGGCATTAGTGTGTTGGCCATGGCTTCAGCTCATGTTCAGTGTTTGGTCTATGTAGAGGCGTTTGTGCTGGATATTATCTCTCTCGCTCTCTCTCCAGTGTAGTGCTGTATGTATGAACAGCTTCCCTGCAGTGAAACATGAGAATAATGTGTTTTCTGCCTGTTCCCGAGCCCTGCTGGGAGACGACCTCTGCCTGTCAGTGTATACATGTCTGTATTGTACACGTGTGTGTGTGTCACTTCCTGTCTGTGTGCGGTTTTTATTTTAAAAGTTATGCACTGCATGGTGTTCCTGTTCTGATTTGCACTTTAATTTTTTATTGTTAAAAAAGAAAATAAAAAATAGGGAAAATAAAGAGGTATATGCAATTTTTAGTTTGTGTACTTATTTTGATTATGCAACATTATAGCTGTCAAACATATGCAGTTTGGAGTAAATCAACAACACTCTAAAAAATAGTTAAATAGTACAATCAACTTGGATTTTTAACTGACATTAAACTGACTTTAAAAAAATGAGTTGAATCTTGTATAACATAAAAAAAAGTTGAAATTGCTTAAAGACCCACTCCGATGAAAATAATGTTTTTCTAGGTGTTAACATGTTCTTGTGGCATTTTTCTGATGTTAGAGGACATATCTTGAGAAAAATCAGCTCAAAGTTGTATTTCTGAGTATTTCTACATTCAAATGGCTGTGAATCAGTAGCAGACGCTAAAATGCCGGCTGAAATCGACTGGAGTTGTGACGTAGTAACTCCACTGGGCGTCTCCACACGCGACGTCTTGGAGTGAAATAATGATCGGTGATCGGTGATAACTTTGATTAACTTCGGATAATAATAATTAACGTGTATATAATACTGTTGCCCCACCGGTATTGGGGGTGTAAGCTAGCGGGAGAGACAGAGCTCTCAGCAACGGGCAGGGGGAGGGTCGTCTCCGTGCCAACGGCTCCGCCCACAACGCAGAGGCGAATTGCTAATGAGCTACTGCCGCTCTGCTGAAGCGAAGTCCCAGAAAACGGCACAGGTTTTGTGATTTTGGCTAAAAATGGCATAATCATAATTTAAAGACCACTGGGAATGTTTAAAAATAGCTCAAAATATGATCGGAGTGGGACTTTAAAGCTGCCGTAGGGAGTTTTGAGAAAACGTTGACTTAGCCTGAAAATTTGAACAAGCACAACTTACAGGTCCCACCCCCTTGCTCTCTGCTGCGCTACAGCCCTCCCTCCACAGCGGAGCCTGTCGTGAACGCGCAGGCTAGTAAACAGGGCCACCGATAACAGCGGATAAAAAGTTATATGGCACATTCACTAATAGGGACTAAACGTCAATAATATGCTTTACATTGACTATGGCCTGCCCATACTTTGACTATAAACTTGGTCCTCAAATCATTATGTATTTTCCAATAGCCTACGTGTAACTTTATAACGTTGCACTCTATCTATAAGTTATAAATAGCTAGTAAGATAACGTTAATATAACGGTAACTAACGTTACAGCATGTAAGTAATTATTCTAGCGATATATAATGCTAGATAAGGTGTGCTAGTACATTATTTCAGCAACATGACAAGCCAGTGAATTAGCAGGTTTCAATTGTTGCTTAGCAGAGTGTGTGACATTTTATCTACATGTTATGCGGCTAGAGTTTTGACACCGAGTCAATGGGCTCTGTGCCATTCTTTCTTTTTCGCTTGTTTATCGTCATCGGTCTTTTTCCTTTTACCTCTTTGTTTGATGAGCAGGTGTCACTCGAGAATTGGCAGTTTAGGTTGTTTCTCCGTCATAAGCACAGCTGCAGCTTGCCGGCAATCTTGAGTTTGAACGACGGCTCGCGCTGTGCAAGAGAGGGGTGTGATCAGCGCGTACACGAGCGTGATTGACACTGCTAAGGCATTCCTCCTGGCTCTGATTGGTTGTTTCTGACCGGGAGCGTGTATTTCTTGCAAATGGCAATAGGACCACTAGGAGGAGCCAGAAGAGCTTGATTTTTACACAGATTATCTGTCTCATATTCTACTGTCAGGACATAATGACAGTTTTAGCAAATACATGTTTTCAAAAGTTACCTACAGCAGCTTTAAGTCATTTTGATGTAAAGCAATGTAAAAACATATGTTGTAATAACTTATTGATCATTTAATCTTTAACAGTGAACATGTGACAACATAGTCCCCACTGTTGGAAAACCTAAAAAATGTTTAATTACATGCCTGGAAACTACTTTCTCCTGTATTACAGTTTCCACAAAAATATTAAGCAGCACAACTGTTTTCAACATTAATAAGAAATGTTTCTTGAGCAGCAAATCAGCATATTAAAATGATTTCTGAAGGATCATGTGACACTGAAGACTGGACTAATAATGCCGAAAATTCAGCTTTTCCAACACAGGATTAAATGAAATTTTAAAATATATTAAAATAGAGTTATATTAAATTATAGTAATATTTCAATGTTATTACTCTAATGCATTTTTAAAAAAATAAAATAAATGCTTCTTTCAAAAACATTAAAATCATGCTGATCAGTATGATATTTTTGCAGCTTTTATAGTTATACACAATATGCATTTATTTATTTAAACCGTATTTAAGCAGCTATACTGGAAAAATCAGGGGACATTTTTGGGAACAGTTTTGAAACAACGAACAAAGGCAGAAGATTTTATGCAACTGAGGCATTTATTGTCTGCAGCAGAAAACTAAAATATCTAATCTAAATAAACAGCACTCAAACACGCGTCCGCATATTTCCCCTAATGAGTAAAGCCCTGAAGACTGGGAGCACTTAAACGCAAAGTACTGCTTGTAAAATATCAAATGAATAATATAATACTAATTAATCTAATACAAATACAAAGTATGGCTATATAAACATGTAAGCCGCAATCCTAACTTAAATAAGTAAATTATACCGCAAAAATAATGCTGACTTTTTACTGCATTTAAAGGTTTACATGGCAGTGTACTGTTAAAACCAAATCCAAATGCCAAGCTGTTTCAACATGCATGAGCTCTCATGCTTTGAACGCAATTGTTCAATTATGAACCTTTTAGACTTATTAGACAACCTCTAGACACAGACTGTCTTTTCCACACAAAAGTGAACTAACACTTAAATGCAAGGGTCTAAATAATCTGAAGAGCTTCTCACCGCACCACGCATGGGCTTTTTTCCCCACACAGAATGCACATTATATACATGAATATAGAAGAACTCGCCTGCAGCCACTCACAGACAGATGCACAATCACAAACATTATTCTTCCCACTTGACAGACACATCTCTTCTTGAGCTTGTGTGGGTGGCATTTACTGTGGTCTCATCAAATCACGCCCCACAGGAGGGTTATGAACTCAGAGTGAAGATCCAGCGGTCCATCTTTCCCTCTTGCAGCCGGAGCTATTCGGCTATTTTGAGACGAGTTTGATTGGCCTAGAATAGACAAACATATTCTCTAAAATGTCAGTAAACATCAATGTAGCATAAAAAAAAGCCAGAGGTCAGAAATGAACAGGGTGAAGTTTTTAAAGCCTGCACTGAACGGTAAAAGTCAAGCAGGAATAAAAGGTTGCTCGTTTTTATTCAATTTCAGCATGTTTTTATGGTTGAATGTATGTATAATTATTGTACATATATTTTAAATTATATAATTATGTATTAATTGCATAATTTACACTACTGTTTATAAGTTTGGGGTCAGCAAATTCAGCAAAGATGCATTCAATTGATCAAAATTGTAAACTACAAAAACATATTGTTGGTTTAACTTAAAAAAAAATAAGTTAGCTGGTTGCCTTAACATTTTTAGTTAATACAACTGAGGAGATTGATTTAATAAATAGAAACTCAAAATATTATGCTACTGACCCACATTATTTATCTAAGTTGTATAAAAGATAAAAACGTATTAAGATAAAAAAATTTTTTTACAGTCATTATAATGATAAAAAGGTTTCTATTTCAAATAAGTGCGGTTATTTTAACTTTCTATTCAATAAATAATCCTAAATGTTGGTATTTTTACACAAATATGAAGCAGCACATCTGTTAACATTGATAATAATAAGAAATGTGTCTTGAGCAACAAATCAGCATATTAGACTGATTTCTGAAGGATCATGTGACACTGAAGACTGGAGTAATGATTGGATCACAGGAATAAATGACATTATAAAATATATTAAAATAGAAAACAGTTATTTTAAATTGTATTAATATTTCATTATTACTGTATTTGTTATCAGACTGTCAGATACCTCTTCATTGCAAAAAAAAAATGCTGCTTTAAATTTTTAAGTACAATCTACTTGGATGTTTAAGTCATTTCAACTTAAGTTACATTAAACTGACTTTAAAAAAAATGAGTTGAACCTTGTAGAACTTATAAACAAGTTAAAAATGTATTGTGATGAGTTAAAGCAATGTAAAAACATGCTGTCATAACTTAATGATCAGTTATGATATTTAAGTTATGATCATAACTGATCTTTTACAGTGTTCAAAGGTTCGCCATTTTTCTCAGTAACGCTTGGCAGTTTTGATTTAGTACTGTATATGCTGTATATGCACATGCTTATCCGCTCCTGGTCTACGCAGATCTTCCTCTTCACTTGCTTTTTGCATGTGGAGATGCAGTTCTATTTCAGAAGATCTGTAACAGTGCTACCGTATAACAGTGAAAACACAGATTTCCGCAATAACTCGTCAAGCGTTTTTGTCATAAATGACGTAAAATCTCGTCAATGGCGGGGAAAGAGTTAATGGATCCACTGTGACACAACTAACCCTGTATATTGCAACAACATGTTTTGCTATTGGGGCATGTTGTCACAAAAGGTCAACATGTGTCCAATGTACGTAGTCAAGTCAAGTCATCTTCATTTATATAGCGCTTTTAACAATGGATTGTTTCAAAGCAGCTTTACAGAGATAAACATATAATTTAAGGTAACCGATTGTTTTGGCGTTATAGCGGTTCTTGAATAATGTTACTTCCAGCTAAAGTTAACTTTGAATGATTCACCTCCGTCGAAATGATCAGACGTACTTGCTGTAAATGGGCATGGAGTCTCCAGCTATGCTGTCGGCGTACAGGCCCGGAGGAGGAAGAAACTGGAGTTCTGAAACATCTAGATTTACTTCCTCTTGATTTCTAAAGGAAATATACAACAACAACAACACAAGTTAGCATTATCAGGTCATCAGGTGCTGCGCAGGCTGAAGGAATGAGACTTGCTTTCAGAAAAAAAAACATCTCAAACATCCATGTAAAACCAGTCTGACCGCATATTCCAGCTGAGAATAGACATCCCATAAATGACTGTCTGTGTTACGTTTGAGAACTTGCACATATTTGTGAGAATACTTACAAGCTGCCAGGATCCTCTTCGTGTGCTAACAGATCAAACCAGAAGTGGAGGAGCAGAAGAAGAAGAAAAAAAATGAGTGTGGGAAGATGTGATTGTTTATGTAATTATGGTTCAGAGTGTCAAAACATACCTGCTTTAGGCTCTGGCATTCTTGATGCACAAACGACCAAACAAGGAAAAAGGAAGTAGAGAAACCTTGATCACTTGCTATCCTGTAATCTTATCATTTACTATCAATTTCAGTGAATTCGAAAGAAAATGGACAATAAGTAAAGTGATGGCGTACATTGGGTTGCTGTCTTGCGGGAGAAGTTGAGAGGGTGTCATAAAGAATGTGGATAGTCTTTGAAGGGCTTCCTGTTTTGGTCTGCAGCACACAATGAACAAATGATCATTCTTGTGTTTTTAATGTAAAACAGATTCTTTAAGATAGTACAGTATGTGTCATTTTTAGTGAATAGAATAGAACTTACTGCACGTTCATGTAATCAATTTGGGTTGGCTGGGCAGGACCTGACCGACAGGGACAAAAGAATAAATACAAAAATGATTACGAGATATTACGAGAAATGATTTTACTGTCGGCATAATGGTTTTTGGTAATGATTTCAACATTTTATGCCATAATTATGATATGATTTTTATTTTTCTGCTGAGATGGCGGAAATTGGCTTCCAGAAATGTCTACGAACAAGTAAATGACGTTCTGTAGCTATAATGACAGTTTCCCCAGAGTGGTCAGGTTTCCCGTGAACATTTTTCCGTCATGTCTCATCATCAATGACTCACCTTGAGCTGGTGTGGCCAGCGACTGATTCAGCCCTCTGAAAGATTGAACATACACCTCATGTAAACAATACAATAGCTCAACAGTCAAGTTTTGTTACTGAGAACAAATAAAAGGGCACATGCAAACACACAAGGTAATACTTACATGTGTGAGTTTTCATTGGGAGAGCCAAACACAGGGTCATCATCATCGCCAGTCCACTCCTCACTGTCTTCTGAGACTGAGGAAATACAATGAAAATAAAATAATAAAGTGTTTATAGCTGTAAACATACTATTTCGATTCCTGTCAAGAGTGGGATTTGTACTCTGTATTATAACCACCCAAAACACCAATATCCAAAGACATTACCTTTATGAAAATTGTGTTGGTACCATGGTACTGTATCAGATGATATTATAATACCATATTCCTCTAATGTTTACCATGCTACTTTATGATTTTAAGAAGGTAATCCAAAATTCCTCAATAATATAATGGTATTAAAATCAAAGTAGTGTCCAAAACACCATAGTGTTATTAGAGGTGTAAAGTATTTGACTATATAGTTAATTACATGTGGATTCCACATGTACCAGATGTGGGCCGACACTATGTTGCTCTCTGGGACTCGAGTTGCATTGGAATTGGTGACTTGTAACTAGTAATGGAGTTAATTTTGCTGTAAGGTATCTCTACTTTTACTTAAAGGAACACTCCGACTTTTTGGGACTTTAGCCTATTCAACTTATCCCCCAGAGTTAGATAAGTCCATACATACCTTTTTCATCTCCGTGCGTGCTATAAGGCTGTTTGACGCACCCACCGCTAGCCTAGCTTAGCACAAAGACTGGATGTAAATGGTTGCAGCTAGCATACTAATCCAAATAAGTGACAAAATAACGCAAACATTTTCCTATTTACATGTTGTGATTTGTATAGTCACAGAGTGTACAAAAAACAAAGTCACATGAGACACAGACATATTTTAACCGTATAAATACTGGGAACTATATTCTCAGAAGGCAGCACCTGAGACGCGCCATGGTGAGGAGCAGAGAGCGCGTCTCAGGTGCTGCGGTTATCACTCCGCCCAAGTAGCAGTGCTTCGCCCTCTGAGAATATAGTTCCCAGTATTTATACGGTTAAAATATGTCTGTCTCATGTGACTTTGTTTTTTGTACACTCTGTGACTATACAAATCACAACATGTAAATAGGTAAATGTTTGCGTTATTTTGTCACTTGGATTAGTATGCTAGCTGCAACCATTTACATCCAGTCTTTGTGCTAAGCTAGGCTAGCGGTGGGTGCGTCAAACAGACTTATAGCACGCACGGAGATGAAAAAGGTATGTATGGACTTATCTAACTCTGGGGGATAAGGTGAATAGGCTAAACTCCCAAAAAGTCGGAGTGTTCCTTTAAGTATGGTTTTCAGGTACTCTTTGCACCTTTGAGCATTACTATGGTACAATCAGAGTGAAGATAATATTTGATGTATAATGCGTGGGTGGTTTTTTTTTTGGACCAATGAAATTTCACAGTGGGCGGGGCTAGTTAGTATGATGCGGTAGAAAGCTATCAATAAGATATCCTGATACTTATTGTGATCAAACACACAAAACATAATACAAAATAAAACATTTACTACCATAAAAAAAAATGATTAAAAGAAGGTGCTTACAGCTTTCAAGGTTCATGTCATAATGCTCTGAGGTCCTAAAAAAAAAAATACAGATAAAAATAAAGAAAATCTCATTTGTAAACTGCAGATCAAGATCAGCACTCAATGCTAGGATAGCATTACTACTGTATATTGCAGTAGCCTATATTTGTTCCGATGGCTACCTGCTGTTTGTTCTGATGTCCTCTGTGTTTTTGTGTCCATTGCCGTTGGATCTGTTAGATGCTGTTGTCATCTTCCCCAGCTCCAATATTCCATTGATGTTCATATCCATACTCTCCACAGGGACATAACCGTCTGAAAAAACAACACACAGCACATTGCCAATCGGCATTCCAGCAGAAGCATCTGAAAAATGAGATAAGCTCTTACATACACAGTCTAACAGAGTAGTCAAAGCTCAAGGACTCGTTCAAGTCTTTGCTTAGTGACAGATCTATTTAGGCATTTAGTCCTTATCAGGGTAAATTCATTACAATGCTTATTTTCTGCACGCCATTTATCTGTAATACTGATTTAGTGTCTTGCTAACTATGTGTGTGCCAAGATATGCATATAATGGCATTCTATTAATTTGTTGTGTTTGTCACTCACATTTGTTGTTGCTGTCTTTAGCCAGCCATTTCCCTTTAGGGCAATTGTTGGTACGGATGATGCTCACGGTGTCTCCAACATTCACCGGTAGGTCGTTTTTACGGCCCTTACAGTCCTCAATCGCTTTAACATGATACATGGCCTCTTCCTGGCCTGTGATCTGCATTAAACATCAATACACATAGACAGTTACATGAGCATGTGCATTAGAAAAAGACTCTTGCTGCTAGCGAGAAATTGAAATGTAAGGCTCATTTCACTTTTGATTAAAACGATTGGGTTTTAGTGATGGTAAATGCTCCATGATGGTAAATTAATGTGGATTGTAATAAGTAATGGATTGTGAGAGTTGCAATAATCAGGTTAAATTTTTAGTGCAAACACATCCAGACGTCCACACGTACCAGATGTGGGCCGGATCTGGGCCGACACTATGTTGTTGTCTGGGATACAAATACTGACATATGTCAGAAATACTGCTATGTCCAAAAAGGGAAAAATATACCTTAAATTTTTTTCTCATTTCATTTTCCTTCTTTTCCTTTTCTTTCTGCTCCTTCTTTTCTCTTTCCTTCTCTTTCTCTTTTTCCTTTTCACGCTGTTTCTCTTTCTTCTTTAGTTCTTTTTCATCTGCCGCTTTTCCTGAGTTCTTCCTGCGGATTGAAGTTTTTCATCATTGCAATCAGATTATTTTGGGAATGTAGTTGCAGTTTAAATTGATATCAGGAGTTTAAAAACGAATAAACATATATAATGTTGCTACAAACCTGGAGAACAACCGTTTAGGTGGAGCCTCCTTGGATGATTAATGATTAATTGAAGACAGCAACGTGTTTGAACAGATCATTTCAACAACGGAACATGCAATTAGAAGATACAAAACATGTCAACAAATGATAATGTTACAAAAGAGTAGGATTATTAGTATTGCAAACAAAAGGTCCTGACATTAACATTCAGACATTCAACAGTCATTCTAAAACTAGTTTTAACAATAATGGTAAAAACAAAAAAAAACGTACCACAGCCGCTGTATCATCATATGGATCTAAGTCGCAAACGATACAAAACATATTTTAGTCAGCAGAATACTTTGTAGATAAAAAGAGAATCTAAAATAAACTGTTTCTATGGAGGTCAGAAGGCCATCAGAGATGAGATTACTGAAAACATGAATCACTACACTGCACCTTTTTCTTCTTTCTTACTGGAAAACAATACAAGATAACACACTTCACAATAGCACTAGCCTATTTTAGTGAAGACTTCTTCCACTTACTCTTTGGAGGTCCTTTCTGTTTCTTATTATTTATTGGTTTGACTTTTTTACTGCTTGCTTGATCTTCATTAACATTGTGACCTCTTTCAAGGGTCCTGGAGGAAAGTCAGAATAAAAATAAAGTCACTCAATATCGACAATACATACACAAAAGCCTTTTTTTTTTTTTTCTGTGGCCACACTAAATCATCATGAAGTTAATGGCTTACCCTGATGGAGACAAGGTAGGTGAGCTTTGCATTGAGTCCTGAGGTTCAGCAGCTTGAGTGTCTGGATTTGGAGAGCCAGAGTTCACAGACCCATAATCCACATACACATTGTTTCTATCCCACGTGTTCAGAAACGCATTTTCTTGAACCTGATGTTTTGGGCCCGACTGTTTCAGGAATGCTTCCTCATGAACTGAAACTGGCCTTCTGGAACTAGAATCTGATGATGGGATTGATGGAGGCCTAAAGGTAGAAACTGCTGGAGCCAAGGGTTCCTTAACATCTTCATAAAACACATTAACATCTTCATAAAACACATCCACAGATGAGTTGTCATGTAGTGAATCTTCTGATGAAGAAAACAAATGTCAATGTACACATTTAGTGGACAAACACTTCTGAGAAACATATCTTAAGGAAGTTAACCTTGTGTTTCTAGAGGTTCAAATTGTGTTGTGGGAATCTGGAGGTCTCTGGCAGGAGACTGAGTTGGTTTCTCAAGTGGAGGGTCCACAGTGGGTATGGCTGGCAGAGCCTTCCTAGGCGGAGGGGGAGGGGGGTGAACATTTTTGACCACTGTCACCATCCCTGCAGAAACAAGAGAATAGATTAGAATGGACAACCACTGGACCACCACCATTTTGAAAAAAAAAAAAACACACACTGTAAAAAACTATTGGTAATTAATTTTTTTTAATTAAAATTAAAAAAAGTTGACAACATATGTTTTTACATAGCTTTCATCAAATAAGTTAAGCAATTTATAACTTTTTTTTAAGATTTATGCAAGATTCAACTAATTTTTAAGTCAGTTCAATGTAATTTAAGTTGAAATGACAAAAATCCAAGTTGATTGTACCTAAAGATTTAAAGCAGCAACTTTTTTTTTACAGTGTAGAAGCTTGATTAAAATGTTTTAAGAATACATCAGAATTAAAGAAAAATGTTTACATAAAACTACAATTTGACGAATGCTGTGTATAAAAAAAACACATTTTGTAAGAAAAGAAAAAAGTGTTCTCATGAACGTATGTTTGGCAAGTAAGTGTATCTTGTTTATTGGATATATTTATTGTTAAGAAAATTTTTGGATATATTTATTGTTAAGAAAATTATTTTCAGATTTTTCCATGCATTTGCTGAATTCTAAAACAAACAAGAAAAAAGAAATACCAAAAATTATAACCGTCAAAAAGAAGCATGAGGAAGAGAGAGCGAAAGTTATGTCTGGAAAGCGAATAAAAACGGGGAGGTCGAGGAAGCACAGACTATGGAATGAAAATGGAGGAACCATGATGCTAATACTTATAAAATCATAAGCCTGATCAAATACATGAGATGGTACAAAGTGTTTCTCTGTTCACAATTTTAGGTGACAATCATATTTAATACCCAATAATATGTCATTTAAAAAAAAATTTAAAATGTAATTTTAATCTAAGCTGTAATGAAAACAATTATTTTCTTTTTAAGGATGTCTCTATGAGCAATATGGTCTAATTACATCAATTACTTACGATAATATATGTAAGCCTAATTAGCATTTAGTTTAACTAAAAACTAAAATGTCTTACTCTTACGGATACGTCCTTGAGACAAAATAGTCTTTGTCATTCTGATTATGAAAAATATGTTACCCAACACAAGCCACAAGAATACTTACATATCCTGCATACCAACCCTCCCTGACGTATGGAATCCACATACCTCCTCACAATCAAAAAGGCATTTAAACACTGCTAAAAGGTATTTACATATTTGAAAAGTTAATCAAAAACTGATTTGTGTTGATTAACAGTAGAACTGAACAAAATGTAATTTGAGGCAAATATATATATATTTTTTTTTGCAAAATCAATTAATTGGCTCTCTGTGAAAATGCCACACTTATTGATACAAGACTTCCCTACAATACGAATAACCTTCTACGATGGATGAAATTGATCTTAGACAACAAAATTGTGGGCAAGCTCACACAGTGTCCACCCTGCTTAAAACAGATACTTACTCTGATCAAGGCCATTAACCTTGGCAGTTTCAGGGGGGTGGGTTTTAGTTGGCACCCGAGTATGATCCACATAATCAACTGGAGGAAGTTCAGGTGTATCAAACCCTTCTGGTACAGGTGGGGCTTTCTCAGGCAATGGCTCTACAGTTGTGGCAAACTGTAGTGAGGCTTTTTCAGGTGTAGCTAGTTTAGGTTGAGTCACCTCAGTTGTGATAGTCTTAGGCAGAGGTGTGAGAGTTTCAGGCAGAGGTATCTCGGGTGTATCTGTCTCAATTGGGGGTGTGCTCTTTCTCTTAGCCCTTTCCAGAAAGCTAAATATTCGGCTATCATTTGGTGTCCGTTTAACTGAGGCCATCTCCTGCGCTCTCGCCAAGACTGAAAGCGTCTTGGATGAGGACTGGTCCTCATTAGTCCTCTCTAGGTTAATAGCTGTATTGTGACTAAGAGCTTTTGCGTTCTCAAGAACCACATCGACAGGTGCAGCTGGAGAATGAACATATGGAGGAGGGCTTGAGACTATAAGTCTTGAGTCTGGACCATGTGTATACTCTAAGGGCATCACCAAGGGCTCTGTGGATATCACTGTACGGGTGGATGGGGCAGGGGAGGCTGACCTGGAGACAACTGGACTCCTGGGAACTGGATCGATAAATGTACAGATCGCTGGAGTGGGTATAGCTTGCTCAGTAAGGTCTCCATCGGGAAAATCTCCAAAAAGAACAGGGGGAGGAATATCAGTGAACTCTGGAGGTGGACTTCCTTCAGGGGGAGGAAAAACTTCTGATAAACTGAGCATATTTATATTTGGTTTAAGAGGTTCAGGGTGAGAAGGAGTTGAAATAGTGGTATCTGGCTTAGAACTCTTTGATTTAGGAACAGCTTGAGAGGGAATAATTGGTGTTGGAATGGCTGGTTCTGGAATCTCTGGGTCAGGGCTGGCAGAGGTCGGAATACCTGGAGCTGGAATGCTTTGGGCAGGAATGTTGGGGACAGGTGGTGTTCCAGCTGAAGTCTGAGAAGGGACAACAGCCTTAGGGACAACAGGTACACTTTCCATAGGGGGACTGGCTGTTACAGATGAGCCAGCAGGAGCCGAGTGACTTGGAGCAGGGGTACGACTAGCTGGAGTTGGGATTTCCACTGTGTCTGTCTTCTCATTTTCATCTTTGCTAGTTTTTTGAGTTGTACATACAAAATTCTTGGGTGCAGACACTTTGACTGGTGAATTGGAAACAGGTCTATATGGGCTGGATTCAGGCTCTTGGGTATCAGCTTTTATTGTAGCCACTGGCAGAACGAGTGGAAGATTCCTGTCCTTCAGAGACTTTTTGGCAATGTCGACCTTCTTAGCAGTGTCTACCTTCTCATTCTCATCTTTGTTAGTTTTTTGAGGGGTAAATACAAAATTCTTAGGTGTGGACACTTTGACTGGTGAAATGGAAAAAGGTGTTTCAGGGCTGGATTCAGGCTCTGGGGCATCAGCTTTTATTGTAGGCACTGGCAGAACGAGTGGAAGATTCCTGTCCTTCAGAGACTTTTTGACATTGTTGACCTCCTTAGCAGTGTCTGGCTTCTCATTCTCATCTTTGCTATTTTTTTGAGGGGTAAATACAAAATGATTGGGTGTGGACACTCTGTCTGATGCAATGGACTCAGGTGTAAGTGGGCTGGATTCAGGCTCTGGGGTTTCTGATTTTTTTGGAGCCACAGGCAGAACTAGTGGGAGTTTTCTATCCTTCAAAGATTTTTTGATAATGTTTACCTCCTTCACAGGGTCTGTCTTCTCACATTCATTTTTACTAGTTTTTTTAGGGGTAAATGCAAACTTTTTGGGTGTTGACACTTTGAATGGCGAAACGGACACAGGTGTAAGTGGGCTGGATTCGGACTCCGGGGTTTCGGCATTTCTGGGACCCACTGGCAGAACCAGTGGAAGATTCTCGTCTTTCAGATTCTGCTTAACAGTGTTAACCTCCTTCTGGTTATTATCTAGCTGTTCAGCATTTTTGATTGGCTGGTTCTCTCTAGTCTTCAATCCCCAGGGTGGAGAGAGCTGGCGACTGAGATTTTTGTCATCTTTGAAGACTACTCGTGGTGCATGCAACGTCCCTTTTTGCACGGCAGTATTGATAGATGAGATCAAAGTATTGCTGGCTTTTGGCAGCGGTCTGATGGTTTTGGGTTTCTCTGAGACAGCAGGTTTAGTCTGGATCTTCAGACCATTTTCACCCTGGAACCGTGCCTTCAGGGTTTTAAAGTCCATTGATTCATCCTGATGTATGAAATGTAGCAAATGTTAAAAATATCAAAGTAAACCTTACATTTCACTATGGCATGCATATGATTTAAATGCATATGATAGGTTTGTATTGTCAGCAATATCTCAGAGCTTAAACATAAACTGCTTTGTAGCACAACACAACACCATCCACTTTGTGTGGGAAGGTAATGTGATGACATGCTATCATTGCCCAAACAAATTCCATTAATTCACACTAGTCAATGTCAAAATGTACAATAGCATTTGGTAGAAATCAGTAAGCTGAGGTGAAAATCTAGGCTAGAGTTATATTAAGAAACGTCAGGTTATTTCCATCAAAAGTATGGCTGGTGTCAAATAAATTCAATAAATCAATAACCTGATCAGTATGGAAACTCTCACAAAAGAGACAGCGATACCATGGTACTTAACGACTTCCATATTTATGATATTTACATGAAAGAATAGTATTGTACTACCAAAATTAGGTATGTCCAAAAAAACTATGGTTTTATCTTGGTACTTTTTGTGAGCAAAATTTGATTTTCTTCACAACTGTCGAATATTACATTTTAGTGTATGGATTAATTTGTGTTTAAGGAATCTATGTAAAAAAACAAAGCATAGATCACATTTAAAAGTTGCTAATAATAAAATTAATGTCATGGTTCTCACCTGTTCCATCATTGTGACTCAAAGGTATCCAGCAGTTCCTCAAAAAGAGATAATTCTCTCTCCTCAACCCCTCATAATTAGTAATCCATTGAGTTAATCCTTTATGATTCAAAATGTACTGTAAATTCAGCATGTACAAATAAAACGGTGTTGTGTCACAGTTGTCAGAGGATAAATAGCACATAGAGTGAGAACTCGCCCATTAACCCTCAGACTGGAATGAGGTTGGATGAGCATGTTCATGTGCTAATGACGAGATAAAGGAATGTCTCGTCAAACAAGTCACTTCACCGAACGCCAGCAAAGGACTGTTTTCATTCTCAAAGAATGCGGTCTGTCAAGAACCACAGAAATCCAAGAAGGCACAGCTTCTATTGTCAAACAACCAAAATTAAACTCTCGTTACCAGGTAGGCTAGAGGAAACATAAAAGTATTGGTCAATATTGTGATTACTTTCATAGAGGATGTGCTTTACTCTCAGGAGAACAGTCTCTACCTTAAAGAATCTAATCAAAGTTAGTTATTTTGCTTTAAATTAAATTCTTAAACAGATGTTGGTTAGCTTTACATCTGAAGATCTGAAATTCGACAATAAAGGAGACTAGGGCTAGTTGTCACACTTTATACTTAAGTTATTTCTTCTTGAGGTGGCTTTATGTTTGAAAGGCAATTTATGTATCTTAGTTTTGACTAAAAAAATGATAGGAAAAACGACAGTGTTAATTCAGTATACTCTCTGGCCCTATAGTGGGATATATTGTCAGTGAGGAATTAACACTTATTTGAGATAAATATTGGAATAGGAAATGCTGTATAAAGCAAAAATAAAATAAAACAAACACTCATTTTGGCCAATACAATTTAAAATGAAAGCACTTTTGACTAAAAGACACATCTAACACGTCTTTCTTATATACAAGAAGTCAAAACAATGTGCAAACGAGTGCAGGAATTTACATAAGAAGAAAGGAAACTAGTTCTTAATCTGGTAAATCACCCTCCATACCTGAGAAGGAATCTTACTACTGATGAGTCAAGGTCATTTTATCTGTGACGTACAAATTGGTTAGTGACACTTCTTACATGATGTCGATTTACACTCACGGATGACATAAAGAAGGTTGATTAAAATGTGATCAGAAGAACACCAAACTGCTCCTGAAACAAGTTCCTATGGAAAGAAAAAACAAACGAAGCAGGCCTATTGTATTAATTTTCCCCATAAGCGAGTTGAGAGTGAATTTGAGTGGTGTTCATCTAATTTAGATTGTGCGGCTAGATCATTTAACACCTGAAACAACATTTCAGTTATAGTAAAATGTTCTCTTTTCTCTTCCAAATCTAGTATGAGTTTAGGTTGAAGAAACAAGTGGTAATTTGATTGTTTGTTTGTAACTAAGGCTGGCTGTTTCACTGGTAGATACAACTGTGGTACTGAACTTTATCCTGACACCTAGTGGTGTGGATGCAGCAGCGCACAAATGCAAGTTAATGTTGATATTATAGAAATGTCCTGTTCACGCTCATGATTCATCTTCCTCAAAGTGTCCAATAATGGGGGTTACCAAGAGAGTAGTATTCAGCTGGTCATGTGATGAACCATGAGAGAGGACCACACTTATGCAGAATAAAACAGCCTTTTCCAACTGATTTGTTGCTGCTAAGGCAGAGAGGCAGAGAAACGTTTTGGGATGTGTTTATTGGTAACAGTATTACATGGTGGGTTACGTAAATCAAAAAAAAAAAAAAAAAAAAAAGCTCTAAAAATCCACTGTAGAATGTCATTATCATCAAGATAAAAAATAACGTGTCCTTTTACATTAGCAAACCATTAGCTGAGGTAAAGGCAAAATAGAAATGTACCGAAATTGAAAGGACTCCCCATTCACCTTGATTTTCACCTTCGTCTTCTTAATGCTCAAAATTTAGATCCCGAAGGTCCAAAACTGCTATTATTTTAAATTAAAATGGGACTCTGGCCATAAAATAGGAGGAAGTTATCGTCACAGTAATGGAATGCTCTGAGCTTTTCAGATGCAATGAAAACAGATGCCATTCATTGTGATTTTCTCTGATTGGAGGCTGGATCGCAGACAGATATTCTGGTGTGATTTAATGTGATCAGACGGCCCTAAAGTCAACATGAAACAGCCTTCGCAACCCATTTTAGTCTTAATGTGACCTATATTTCCGAGTAAAACAGGATATTCAACAAATAGGAGACCGGAATTGACATTAGGAATTGACTGAATTGTAAAAAGTGGGCATTACATATATCAGATTGGAGCCAATATTTTTTAAAAGTAGTTTACCATCAATAAATTAATGTCAGGATATCTGCTGTTCGGCCTTGTTTATATTAGTCAAAAATGAAGTTTAACACTTGAAAAATAAAAAAATAAGAAGACATTTTCTCTTTGGAATAACATGCACTGATAAATGTGCAGAAAGGTGTATTAAAAAAAGTAAACAGAGCCCATTTTGATGTCATATTGACTTTAAGGTCTGTAAATGAACGTGTATGTGTTTGTGTACATGCGTATTTGAGATTGCTGCATTAGAGAAGCTCTGCTCTTCCTCTATCGCATATTAACCAGCTTCATCTTGACAACAAACCAAAAGAAATCACATAAATATGACGCCGTCTATTTTCCACTTCAGCCATTAAAAACATAATAACAGTCTCTCTGGGTTTGTTTCAGGCCACTTAAAAAGACAGTCTCCACCATCCTGCTGAAATCAAAAGACAGAGAAAGCAAACGTAAACCGCTTGGGAGTTTGGGACACGTGTTAATATTGCTTGGGTTTCATGAGGAGTTTGCATCACTAAGGCCAGCCTATTTTATGGCACGGAAGTCCACAGGATGGAATGAACACTGTTATAATCGGAACCATTATTATTATCATCATCATCATTATTATTTGTCATTGTCATCATTATTATGATCAATAATAATAATTATTATTATTATTTACAAAATGAGTTTGGCAAACCAACGATCAGATTTTAAAGCCATGTTTACCCCTAAAACACATCTAAAGTCGACTTCAAGGGCTCCACGTGACTTATAAAATAAAAATTCCATTTCAACGTCATGTTTTTTTTTTTTTTCTCATTAGTATTGTACAAAAGCTATAGAGAAGGAACAGTTCAATCACAGGTTTTTGCAATGTTCGTTCCCTCGAGTTCCCCTGTCAAATTCAGCTGCTCCAAAACCTTGAGATTTGGCAAAAGTCATTCCTCGTGTCTGTTCTCCATCCGAGAGAGAAAGTGAGTTTGTTTTCTTCTTCTTTTAGCTCTGCATAGCTTTCTAGCAGCAGAATCTCAAATACGTGGGAGAGGAAAAACCAAATAAACCCAAAAGGATGGATCGCGTAAGTCACAGATGGATCCGCTCTGTGATGAATTATGGTGGTCTTGGGTCGGATGCGTGATTGGGGGTCCGACAGGCACCTCTCGAGAGTTTCCCGTAATGCGGTCTCTATAGAGAGTCAGACCAGCAGAAACTGGAAGTAGGACGAAGGGCATGAATGAAGCTGCAGAGCTGGGCTCATAAGGCTATGAGGGGTGTTGTAAGGTTGAAATCACCCACAATGCCCTGCTGTCATGTGCAGAAAACACAGTGAGAAAGAAAGAAAGAAAGAAAGAAAGTGGTATGGAGAGAGTCTGTCCCTCTCTATCCTTGCGGAGGGAGTGACGGAGGAAGTCGTGAGGGGGACGGGGCGGCTCTAGAGAGATGGCTGCTTGGAGAAGTGGACCGTTCAGGCTGGAGTGACCGCGCTCATACACACACACACACAATCTCTCTCTCTCTCTCATACACATATACACACGGATGGGTGCACACACACACACACACACACACACACAGGGCAGAGAGTTGATCTCCAGTGTTTTGGTCTCCTGCTCCCCCCAGCGCTGATCACGTCTGTGCAGAGTTCCCATGATCCTTCACTTCTTCCCCTTGTTGATCTGGGCATAAAGAGGGTCCTTCCCCTGAACACAAACAGAGCAGGGTTACTGAAATATAAATGACAAAACTCTCAGATGGGAAACACGTTTGCCCCTTACTAGTAAAGGTTGTAACTATATCATCTGGACACATACATAATCTTTCAACGCCATTTTTCTTAAGCGACATATTTATAATTAAAGTTTATTTGAATTATCTTAGATGTTTAGTCAGTGACCATTTTTTGAGGGCTTTTAAAAGTGTACATTTTTGTTTACAGAAATATATATTAATGAGGTCTGACACACCTTCCCATGTTTATTTGTTTAAAAAATCCAATTCTATTTTATATAAATACAAAAAATATATCCAATATATATCGATCTATATGGACTATATATATATTGATTGATACATATTTTTCGCTTCACAACACATTTATTGTTAAAATTGTATTATATTGCGGATGTTTTGCAAGTGGCCGTTTTTTGAGGGCTTTTAAAATGGTCAATTTTTATTGTTCACAGGTCCATGTATATATGTATATATATATATAGTGTGTGTGTGTGTGTGTGTGTGTGTGTGAATACAATTTCTATTTATTAAACATTACTTATAATATATATGAAAGTACCCCAGATCTCAATTGAAAAATACAGTTTAGTGTGAAAGAAAATCGGTCTGTGTCACATATGAGGGACAAAATCTGGTTTAAATCTGGCAACATAAATAAAACAAGCATTTCTTCAAAATCAACACCAGGTGGCAACAGAGATCTTTCTGAAAATCATTACATTCACAAACTTACTCCATGACACCAGTGCTGCGTTCCAGTCCAAAATTGTCATGCCCTTCACTCGCTAACTTCCCTCCGTCTCGTTCACTCGGATGTATGTCATTGCTTACGTTGCATGAGTGTCCACTACTGGCGGAGCCCTTGATCACTTAGAATCCACTATGGGATTGATTTATTATTTATTTTTTTCCCTTAAGAAATTGTTTAATGCAGCATTCTATATGTAGGTGTGTTTGAGTTGTTTACATTTTTTTTAATAATTAATATATCATAAGAGTTGTTTGTGGTGGGGTAGGCCTAAATTAAAGGCAATATGCGTTGACGTCACAATCGTGTTGCATTGTGGTATATGGAGCTGCCTGAAGTGTACAGATGAAGTAGACTCGCTCCCTCGGTCAAAATCCAGGGAGCGAGTGTCTGTCCATATAAACTTCCCTAGTCCACTTCATGAAGTGGAACGCACTTCAAAATGGCGGCAGGGATTCCCCCGAGGGGAAGTGCTTAGGGAAGTTTGCAAGTGCGTGTCTAAGAGTGGAGCTACACCACAGCAGCTGCTCAGTAGATAAACTGCTGCAGAAAACACTGGAAACATAGACAAAATGTGTGACAAAAAGTCACCAGCCTCATACTCTACCTGCTCTCAGAGCAATCTCATCCATGTTTTTAATCTTTATATTCGATAATTGCAGACTAGCTGCATTAGAACCACCCACTTGAGCATAAAACCCTGTGAATTCTCCCTTTATCAAATGGTTATTTATAAAAAAAAGAGCATCAAGGAGCAAAGGAAGGGTTATATAAGGTACAATAGAGCTTCCAGTCAGTGTGTGTCCAGACTGCAGCCTGAACCCTACAGTTTGAAATCAGAACCTCAAAAAGCAATTATCACTCACTTACAGACATTTCCGCCCATCGTGGGCGCTCGAACGGACACACGGGGTGAGAGATGACAGGATAAGTGTTTTAGAGAGCGAGAGAAAGAGTCAGAAGATAAAAATGAATGGAACACTAAAAAGCTGAAAAAGAGGAAAGCCAAGTGAAAGGGAGTGTGGGAGGAAGTACATAAAGAGGGGAAGGAAGAAATGGATGACTAAGTAGGTGAGAGGTAGAGCAAGGGAAATGGATCAGTCAACCCTGCTGAGTGAAAGTGGTAGAGAAAATGAAATAAATGGAAGAAAGACTGTGTTGACATTTCCACTTTTTATAAGTAAAGTCCCTTTTGGTAATGTCTCAAGCAGCTTTTTTCAGTTATGCACGTACAAATGCTATCTACGTTAAAGGTGCAGTAAGCGATTTCTGAGAAACACTGTTGACATTTGAAATCAACCCAAACAAACAAACACACTCACTTTATTTCTTCCTGCCCAAAATGCACGTACACGCAATGCAAGAGTTGGATGTCTCTTTATCATAGCTGAATAATGCTTCACCAAAAATAACAGTGAAGATGACGATGACAAAGAAGAACAAAAAATGAACATAACAGTACACAAGAGTCTAACAGTAGCTGTGTTTCCATTACCCTTCAAATTGTGCATATTGAAATTGAGAATTGAAAATACGTAAATGTTTAAACTCCCATATATAGCAAAAAAAATAAAATAATTACGCTCGAATGAGGTGGTTTTTCAAGCAATTCGAAAAAGGATTATCTCGCAAAACTGCCATTTAAAAAGTTTTTTTTCGCATTTGCAGGTCACCTTGCGTATGTGAAAGATCATTCTTTAAAGTTGGCGCGGTATGTTTTGGTCAGAACACGTGACAGAGTCCTTAATTAAACTCATTGAAGACAAAAGAATTACAGGAATACTGGTTTCCAAACAACAAAGAAATGCCACAATATATCAAGACCTTGAAGCAGATATGCGGGAGAAACTCCCAGAAACACCTCATACATGCCACTCTAAATTATAAGGGTCTTTCCTTGCCATTAATGCTTGGATAACATGCCTACATCTCATTTGATTAAAACTAATGGCTAGAGCGGTGGCTGGGATGTGCGTAAACCTACCGACATCCATTGCCATGATGTTTGGAATGACTTATCGCAAGAGGACAAAAGCAAGTTTTAGGCTCAATCCCAATTCACCCCTTGCCCCTACCTCCCCATTTTGCAGAATATATAGCGAATCACCGGCGAGATGGCTTCAAAAACGGTTAAACATTTCAATTTAGCGCCAGATGACACCACCGTGCACTTTATTTACTCTTATAACAATGATATATTCATTTAAATTAAGAAATTGTATAATATATTACCTTTCCGAAACAGAAAAGACATACATTTCGAGGATGGAACGTTATAAGCATCATGTTTTCTCAAAGTTAAGAGCAGCTGCGCTGATTGTCAGTCGTTGTCATGGAGAAATCCTATAAAAACTCCGTAACGGCAGAGCCATCGACGACGACTGATGACGTATCGGGTTCATGAAGGGTTGTTCCATTTCGTAGGGGAATATTTCAACCCCTTGGCCCTTGTAACTCTGTTTTAAGGGCCAAGGGGTACACTCGAAAACAAGGGGTAGGGCCAAGGGGGGAATTGGGATTGAGCCTTAGTCGCACACTGTCCCTTTTGATCATTTTAATATGTCGTTTCTCCTTGCTAAATAAAATGATTAATTACAGACACATATTCTATTCAACTTATTTCCAGTTGTGTATTTCGGCTTAGCAAAACGAAAGTTTGATAGACAAGTAATTGCAGTTGTCAAATCCCCCACCTACAGTTCCAACAGCTCTGTTCTCCGACATAATGTCATTAATAATCGCTGTAGTTGATTGCCCCTTTAAAATCTGTTTCCCCCCCCCCCTGTCCTTTCCATAGATGTGTGTGTATGAGAGCAATTTATTTATTGACATTTGACTTATTTTTGTAAAAGAGTATAACTATTGAAAATACATTTTTTTTGTAGCAAAATGCAATGTAACCTACTGTTTATTTTAAACCAATTTTTCAAGGTTGCTTGTTTTTTTGTGAGATCTGGCAACACTGCTATTGGCTCATATTCCAACAGAAGGTCACTGTCAGCGAGAACACTTACCGTTCCTGATCATCACTGTGCAGACAGTACAGAGTAACATCATCCTCAGTCAACCACTATTATAATCCAATGGCAATGACATGCCTATGCCAACCACACAGTACCCAGCCGCCATACTGCTTCAAAACCAGTAAACTGAGCATTACTCATGTGCTCTGAAACTATGATCAGAGACAATATCATACCAGGATCATACACAGGACAAATCAACACCACAGGGAGTAAGTCTCTATATCAGTAAGCACTGTTTCTGAACTCCCTGAAACGCCTCGATTGTACTCTTGAGTTTTCTTCCGGGAATGAACACGTCATGTTCATTATTTTAATCATTTCTGATCAAGGCATGCACAAAATAAAGGGCGAGGCCTGGTTGAGTTGCATTAAAGGGATAGTTCACTTTGAAATAAATTTTTGATATGTTTTAGCTTACCTCAAGGGCATCCAAGATGTAGGTGTCTTTGTTTCCGCAGAAGTTTCAATTTTGATATTTTTAGGTCAAACCGTTCTTGTCTGTCACTCATATAATGCAGATCTATGGTCACCACCTCAAAGAGCATGCACAGAGAAGTCCAAATTAAACATGATTTAATGACTCGTAAATGTAAGTACACATTGATGGCCTAAGACACGAAACGAGCGGTTTGTGTGAGAAAACGAAGTGATCTCTCGCGCGTGTACGTCACTCATACAATTGTTTGTTTTTTTTTTGTTTTTTTTTTATGACGGTTTAAACATCACAGATTAGTACCCTTTTAATTAGCCGTCTTACCTACAATCTCTGTTCTGTGTAAACAATGAGTGACGTACACGTGCGAGAGATCACTTCCGGTGCTTTCCGGAAAAGACCGAAGCGCCCGCACCCTCAGATCACTTGGACGTGGCTGTGTTTACAAGAGGTAAAAACGATATAAATACTGTTCGTTTTCTCACACAAACCGCTCGTTTCGTGTCTTAGGCCATCAATGTGTACTTACATTTACGAGTCATTAAATCATGTTTAATTTGGACTTCTCTGTGCATGCTCTTTGAGGTGGTGACCATAGATCTGCATTATATGACTGACAGACAAGAACGGTTTGACCTAAAAATAACAAAATTGAAAATACTGTGGAAACAAAGACACCTACATCTTGGATGCCCTTGAGGTAAGCTAAAACATATCAAACTTTAATTTCAAAGTGAACTATCCCTTTAATAGCGTGTTTAGCTTGAAACGTTTGACCAATCACGGCACACTGCTCCAGCTGACCAATCAGAGCACATTGAGCTTTTCAGAAGGAGGGGCTTCATAGAGACAGAAACTAAACAGGGGTGCGTTTCCCGAAAGCATTGTTAGCCAATATTGTCGGAAGTTCTGTCGTTATCAGCATAGTTCAACGAGTCCGTGTTTCCCGAAACCTTAGTTCCAACGAACAATCGCAAACAGCATCGCAAAGTTGTGTGGTTGGAACGACAGCTCTCCACCTGTGGTTAGAAGCATAGTTTATATATTGCATGACATGTGGACTCAATAAATCCTTATCTTGAGCCAAATAATCAAGCTGACATTCGGTACGATCTATATCTTTTATTTAGAATACCTACAAATGTAATTTACGTCTTTTAGTTTGTCAAGAGATTTAAAGGACCGTTTTTGAAGAGTGTGCATGTGCGTACATGCTCTAGTACGTAAGAACGAGCCTATGATTGAATCTGGAAATAAAGCAAAATAACTGAGAAAAATGAGAAATAGTTCTTAGATGCCATGTCCGTAATTTATAGCAAAACATCCAGCATTAATTCGATCTCAAACAGATTAATTGATTAATTAGTTTCATTACTCCACCACGTAGGTGACATCATTAACCAACGTGGTTGAACGACCAATTTGCGACAATACGGTTTCGGGAAACAGTCGTGACTAGCTAGTTGATTTCTTCAATGATGCATCATATATGGTAGTGAAGCAGCGAGTTACGTCGTTGTACGATAAACGCACCCCAGAGGGTTACTGACAGACTGGGAAGAGAGGAGCTGCAGCAATGTACAATATGTGAAAAATAATGTTTTTCCAACATTCAAGCATGAAAACCTAGTCTAATAGTCCCCAAAAACAAAATCAAGACTTTGTAAAAGGGCATAATATAGCATCTTTAAGAAATATGACAGGAACCCTTTGATAAAACCTCTCAAGAACTCTGTAAGAATTTTTTTAATCACATCCAAATATTGGCAAGATTTTACCCACCAAACCAGGAACCAGTTTTCCTTCATTTTATAGTAAATGGACGGACACATCTGTTCTACAGTCTGTGTGTTTATAGGGGGTGTATGTAGGTGGGTTAATATTTCAGTTGGGATCAGTGCTTCATTCATCATTAGGCAGGTAGAGATGAGTGTGCTACATCAGTCTTCCTACAGTCAGAGAAACAAGCCTCTGGCTCCCATAGCCCTTCATTAATGATTCATCCTGATGAGCTCATGTCTCCTCCAGACAGGTACCACCGAGCGATAGCTCACTTTCGAGGCTATTCGGATTTTGGAAGTCCACATTTTTTAAAAAAGAAATCAAGATGCTACTTTGTTTCATGTGATAAGTATTTGGGCAAGTCTTTTATTTGCACGTCTTTAGTTTGAAATCATCGAGGTTGGGACTATCATTCATACAATTCAATTTAAGTTGTGTAATACTGTATGTTGCAATTCTAAAGTTACCAGCCAACTGGCTTGGTGTTCATTTAGTATTACATAAGGTGTAGTAGACAGATAAACAGAAAGAGAAGGCATGTTGCTTGTTTGTTCATTAAGAAAAGTCACTAAAATGAAAGAGCTGAAATGTTTAAAGCACCAGCATTATTTTATGCTTTTAGTCGCAATGACAGAAATCAAAGATAAAAAAGGATCTAGTTTGCGTGTCAGACCTCGTTTTACTTCGGTTCAGATCAGTTCAGTATGTTGTGTGCTTTTGCTGTGATGAGTGACAATATAAAAAACATTCATGACCTCATTTTGTATATCTGGAAATGACACAACACAGATACTCAGATGTGGATCATTCATGATGTTCATGGGTATGCAATGCAACACCGCTGTTTAAAAAAACACGTTCAAAAGCATTGCTATTCACACACATCAGGAAGCTTTATGGGATTAAAGGGACACACACACACAAACTCACTCATACTCTGTCATAAACAAAACAAAATTACACCATAAAAGCATATAAACCATGTTCCCATGAGATGCATACCAGCGTAAGAGTGACTGCAGCAGCAGGCAGGGACGGCGAGATGAGAAACGGAGAGAGAGAGAGAGAGAAAGAAACTGAAGGCAGAGAATAAGGCCACATTCACACAGTAGCAGAACACACTTGTCAGGCCTGTTTGGAGTGCTAAGTACAGTTACAGTATACAAATAGGAAGACAATTTGACAGAAAAAGGATAGCTGTCAAGGTTACGATTTTAATTTAATGCAAAATGTAATCTTTCATTCTGCTTTCTACAGTCAGAAATCCAAAGATAAATCACAATTATTTTATTCTATTGACAATCATTATGGAAGCTTTTCCGCTATCAAAAAAAAAAATAATAATAATAATTTTTTCAACTTTCAAAAATCGACTTAATCACACTTCTGAGAAAAATGTCCGAAATGTGAGATAAAAAGTTACATTATTATTATTATATTATTTGTTTTATAACGTGGCTGAAACAAGCTTCCATAGAGTTATATATTTTAACTTTAGGAAGAAAAAAAATCTATTTAGCATATACAGTAGTTTTATGAATTATCAGCCCAAAGCTGCATTTATTTGATGAAAAATACATTAAAAACAGTAATATTATGAAATTATTACAAATTTGTAATAGCTGTTTTCTATTTTGATATATTTAAAAAAATGTAATTTATTCCTGTGGTGGTTTTTCTGGATTTGATGCATAAAACATTATTTTTTTTGTAACACTGTAAAAGTCTTTACAGTCACTTTTGATCAATTAAAATCATCCTTGCTGTCTAAAATTATTAATTTATAACAATAAAATAAATAAATAAAATAAAAATAAAATGAAAATATGACTGACTTTTAAATGGTAAAGTATATATAAATATATGGTAAAGAATGGTGTATATATATATATTGCCTTCTAACAATATTTGTAATTATTGGTGTTTATTGTTTAAATTGTAAAAAAAAAGAGTTAATTTAAATATGCTTTCAACTTAGCGGATGCTTAAAAAAAGTTTCCAAATATTTTGATAATTTGATTTGACTTTATAAAACCCAATTATCAAGTATTTTGAAATATTTATAATATCACTCTTTAGCTGCCTTTATAATTAAGGGATTCCCTCGCAAGTGGACCTCATATTTAAGGGTCCTAGGCATCATAAAATGGCTGAAATGTCCTTGTTCAGAATAAATAAATAAAAAAAAAATAAATAAAAAAAAGTCTTGATATTTATTTACTATCATTAAACTATGGTTACCATGTCACTTGGGTTAAAGCATAAATCAAGATCTCATTCGTTATAGACGAATCTCATAGAGGATTGAATCCAGATCTGTAATAGTACAAACAGGACAGATCAAGAGTCACACCTTTCAGTACACTGACTGTGTGAACGCAGCCTAAGAAGGATAGAGAGTAGAAAAAGTGTAAAGTATAAAGAGAAAGAGCACCACAACACACGGCCACGATGTGTGGGTCTATGTAATGGTGGTGAGGACGGGTGAAGGCGTGCTGACGTGACGTCATGGTTGGAGCAGGCCGACACGAAGAAGAGGGGGAATAAAAGAGGACAGATACCTACCCTGACCTGCCGCTATCTAGCTACCGACCTGAGGACTGTCCGTCTCTGAGCTCTCAGGCTCTGCTTGAGGCTCACTCGCACCCGGAGACTGCTGGGAGTCTCCAGCCTGGAAAAAGAGAGAGGAGCATAGAAGGAGAAGGGGAAAGGAATAGATTTGGGGGAAAGAAATAGGAAAAGTGACAGGAAATAAGCTTTTATAAAGCAGCAGGAAAGAAGAAATCCATAGTAAATCAAATAGTTCACATCTTTTTTTTCTTGCAACGGTAAGAACGGAAGCATAGGCAGTGCTGTAAATGTGCAAAAAAGTAACCATCCATCTGTCCATCCATCCAACCATCCGTCTATTCAATACATTAATTATTCCACCCACACACTGATGTATTCAAAAGTTCCCGCACACATGTGCCCATTACCGGAGCTGTGAAAACCCTACTGTTAAAAAGGGTCCTGTATTGTACTACCGCATAAAAGGCTTTAGACTAAAGCATTTTGGATTTTTATGAATATTCCCTCTATGGCTGCACTCGTAACACCTCATGGCGGTGTGTGTGGGTGTGTAGTGAGTAAGTGATTTAGGAGCCCAATGCCATTTCAGTAGAGAGAGAGAGAGAGAGAGAGAGAGAGAGAGAGAGAGAGAGAGAGAGAGAGAGAGAGAGAGAGAGAGAGAGAGAGAGAGAGAGAGAGAGAGAGAGAGAGAGAGAGAGAGAGAGAGAGAGAGAGAGAGAGAGAGAGAGAGAGAGACACACAAGGACTAATTAAACTTTTTGTTCAGCTGAAATATAAAAGAAAGGAGAAAGAGCACTAGTCGGGTTTCCATGGCATTTTCTGATGAGTCATATCTGATAGAGATCAGGAGAGAGAGAGAGAGAGAGGTTGTGTGTGAGTGTTTATGAAATACCACTGATGTGTTTTCACAGTTCACCCAAAATCACATTTTTGTGAACTGTAAAAAAGACTGATGTCCATGAACTGCAAATTATGAACTCTAATGAAGATTTTAGTTGGTTCATAACACAAAGATAACATGGATTCCATGCTAACACTCTGAATACAGCAGACAGGCCATATAAACCATTTTATGATGCCTTTATATCCTTTTCACACCTCTGAATAGGATATAAAGGCTAAAGCTAGTGAGAGTGACCAGTACATTATTAAACTATTTTTCCTTTTGGTTTCCATGGAAGGAAGAAAGAAAGTCGTTTGAGTTTGGAACAACACAAGGGTGAGTGAATGATGCCAGAATTGTTCTTTTACGTCATTAGTCTAAAAAGGATATTACCTTTTTTTTTTTTTGAGGTGTTATATTCTTTATGAGGCAATAATGGACTTGACTTGATGAAATATAAATATTAAAATCAGTAGGGGAGAATCAGGCTCTATTCTAATACTCCAGTTTTCATAAGGATATGCAATATGTATTTATATTTTAACAATATTAATCATGTAAGTCTCCAAGGATTCATGAAGTCAGTGCTGATGGGAGAAACTAAACTTGAACTTTAGGTTTTGATTCTGATTGTATTTTGTGTAATAAAAAGCACATGTGGGATCAGATCTGATATAGTTGAACAACTACATTTCCCACAATCAGCAGTACTTACAGCATCCTCCTCCCCGCTCCGACTAGGGCTGCCCTCTGCCTCACCAAAAGAGTCATCGGTGGGCGGGTCACTGGCGTGGGACGAGGACTTTGACGGAGAACTCTGCCGGGGGGCTGGGGTGGGTGCTGTAGAGAGAAAAGGCCAGAGTTATGGTTAGTAACAGAGTAAATCTCACATTTGTTTATTGCATTAGCTGATATAAAGCGTCTGATGTGTTGTTGGGCGACGCTAAGAAGGTACAAGTATGTTTTTCACCCGCTGGGATGAATATCTAACAGAACTAAATATCTGTTGCAATTTTACAGGAAGGGCGCTGAAATTTTCACACTTACATTAAAGACGAGGCTCATTTGTGATCAATTATACATGAAAACAATGTTTCTATTTGGGCTCATGCAACCTTAAACTGCTTCAGCGAGCCGTTTGCTCTCACAGCTCAGTGACGGCTGTTGCATTCAGCCAAGGAAATTTGCCTGTTTTTACTCAGATATGTAAAGCGTTAATTCTCATTTTAATTTACTATGGGACTTTTTCTACTTGGTCTCAAGAGAAAAAAACATGACCGTCGATGACTATGTATCCAACTTATTTTTCAACACATACTGTAAGCTATTTCCTGTGAATTCATTAGCTAAAATAACTAGAAGCGGCTAATGCTGGAAGTCTTACTCATTCAAATTAAATAAGACCTAACCCGCTCTTACGTTAAAAATAAAACAGATATGCTTTTCCAAAAGCTAAAATGCATTAGTGCAGCTAAAATTGTTGGCAGTTTTCACTTGAAATGTCTACAGGGTGGCACTAAAAGCACTATGACTTTTACTCTCATTGAAAGTCTGTATCTTCCACTAAACCATCAAAAAGCTTTTGAAGACTTGGAACACAGCTTTTATTTTAAGTGAAATACCGTACTACAAATATTTTGTAGTTCTATTTTAGCTCTAGCATGTTGCTAGCAATGAGCCCGGCTCACAGGGAACCCACAAACTCACAGAATTTATATGCAAAGTGCTTCAAGTGTTTAAAACACATCAGCAAATGTTATGATCTCATCTGAGGTTGCATTTTGGATTTGACAAAATCAAACAGGCACCTCGTTGTTAAGAGACGCATGACGCATGTTCTAAAATCAGCTCGAAATATCAAAGAAGTTTGATCTCATCTGACTGGGTGGAATGAAGCTAAAAGCCTGAAGCTAAAAAATTGAAGTCTATGTCTACCATACACTACGCAATTTCAGAGAAATGTCAACTCCATCTGCCCAAAATCTGCAGACTGCCATTGACTTTTGGCAACTAGCATCGATTCGACCAAACTGCAAATCAAGTCGTGTAGAGTATTCCAGCCTTAAGGATGTAAAAGTGAATTCCTGTTGGTTTTGAGGTTAGTTATGTGTTTTATATTTGTTACTTAAAGGTGCAATGTGTAATATTTCTGAGGATCTATTGACAGAAATGCAATATAAGATCCATAACTATGTGTTGAGTGGTGTATAAAGACCTTACTCAATGAACCGTTATGTTTTTATTACCTTAGAATGAGACATTTATATCTACATAACCGCGGGCACCCCCTTCTATGAAGGCCGACATACAGGTCCTTCTCAAAAAATTAGCATATTGTGATAAAGTTCATTATTTTCCATAATGTAATGATTAGGGATGCACCGAATCCAGGATTCGGATTCGGATTCGGCCGAATATTGGGCTTTTTAACGGGGTTCGGTTTCTGCCGAACCTCAGAATTTTTTTCCACCGAACCGAACCCTAGGTTTGCACTACGCGCGCTACGTCGAAGTCACCGATCAGTGAATGACATCAAAGAACCGCGTGAACGAATAGAGAGCAGACGGCTCCTTATGCTTTTGAATTGCTCTCGCGGTACTTTGATGTCATAAACTGATCTGTCTGTGCAGCGCCGGTTCAAGTCGAACAAGCCTGTAGTGTAACGCGTTGTGTCAGGAAGAAAAATTGGGATAGCTCACAGCTAAAGTTATTGCAGAGGCCAGACAGACTCACGGAGGCGATTGGCATCTCACAACTCGCACTTTATTCCACAATCGAACTTGTGTAACTGTCTGTCACACGTTCTACGTTCCACAGCGTTTCTTAACAAAATAAGGTAAAAATGAGCGTCAAACAGAAATAACCCGCATACATGGGCATGTGTTCGAGGCGCACGGCACATACAATACGCACTGCAGACAGTTCAACAGGAGCGCGCAGTTCTTAAAGGGGCCACACCTTATTTCCACTCGTTACAGTAGGTGCACCGTTCGAATGCAGTAGGCTGTGAGAAAGTGAAAATGGAACTCGTGAGCAGAAAAAGTGTTGTTTGGCAGTACTTTCAGTGAAAAGAAGGCAATTCAAGTCGAGCTACATGTTCAATTTGCAATGCCGATTTGTCTCATGGTGGCAAGGACTTTAAACAATAGGCTACACAACATCGCCGATCGCCGCTGTTAAAATGCATAATGTTGCTTATTCTTTTTTTTTTTTACAGTTATAAAAGTAGAAAAGAACCACCGCTCATCCGTCAAAAATGTCTTGTAGAGAGGTGCTGCTACATTAAATCATCAGGAATTGTACAGCAGCCGCACACTCAAAACACTGTGCAAAATCAATTTAATATTATTAATATTATTATTAAATTGATTTTGCACAGTGTTTTGAGTGTGCGGCTGCTGTATTTTTACAGTTATAAAAGTAAAAGTAGTGTTTATTATTTACAGTAATAAAATAAAATGAAAAATCCACTTTGTTTACTTCATTAATGTGTTTACTGTGTTAATGGACTGAGGATGAGAGTAGGATTCGGTATTCGGTTTCGGATTCGGCAGAATCTTAACCAGTGGATTCGGTATTCGGCCGAACCCCACAAATCTGGATTCGGTGCATCCCTAGTAATGATACAAATTAAACTTTCATATATTTTAGATTCATTGCACACCAACTGAAATATTTCAGGTCTTTTATTGTTTTAATACTGATGATTTTGGCATACAGCTCATGAAAACCCAAAATTCATGTCTCAAAAAATTAGCATATCATGAAAAGGGTCTCTAAACAAGCTATTAACCTAATCATCTGAATCAACTAATTAACTCTAAACACCTGCAAAAGATTCCTGAGGCTTTTAAAAACTCCCAGCCTGTTTCATTACTCAAAACCGCAATCATGGGTAAGACTACCGACCGGACCCTTTTCATGATATGCTAATTTTTTGAGACAGGAATTTTGGGTTTTCATGAGCTGTATGCCAAAATCATCAGTATTAAAACAATAAAAGACCTGAAATATTTCAGTTGGTGTGCAATGCATCTAAAATATATGAAAGTTTCATTTTTAGCATTACAGTGGGTACTCAACCAGAATAATACTTTTACCGCCGCCGCTCCCGCGGCGGTAAAATTCTGGTGTGTATTTGTTGCCTTTTACCGCTAAGAGGCGCTACAATTACAGACTTTGAAAAGTGTCAGTTTATTCTCTCTATTGCGTAATCTGCCGCAGTGCCGCTGCTCATTCAGAGCGATTGTAAGCTGGTAACAGATGATTTCAAGTGAAACTTGTAGTTAAACGAATTCATAATCACAATAGGCCTACTGAAATTAAATTGAATAAATAGTGAAAACATTTCAACATAAAACATTGCAACCGAAACATATTAGGCTATCAATGAGGGGTTGGAAGACCATAATACACTATTTGACAGCGTTCAGACGATAGCTCAGCGATTAACGCAACAACATGAACCTCACTACGCTTCAAACGATCTGAGATCGAATCTCAATGGAGCTAATTTGCTGTTGGCCGAATTCGTTTATGTTTTACCGTTCTTGATGCTTAAATAGGTAACTGTTTATTAGCGAGTTGAGTTCATTAACTGTTTACTTATGTAAAGTCAAGAGTTTTGTTTAAATTATCAATGGCACATTACAACATAAATTTGCTACATTCCAGTAGAGCCGCTGCACGACAAAACTGATGAGGGAAGATTAGCTGATCGCGTCAGAAAATGAAAATAATGAAGCTTGTCTTTAATCTGCTAAATTATTGTTTTGTGAATCATTCACGAAATTGAGGTGATAGACAGTGATACCCGGCCATAGCAACGGAAGAAATTTTTCAAAACAGATCCATAAATTGAACAAATCAGAAAAGACTGATTTTGTTGGCTATACACAAAATAACAGACTAACTAAATAGTATTGCTTTCAATATAAAAACAAATGAAAATGTAAAAGAACACTAAAATTAATTAAGTTTGAAACCCCATCGCACATTTTTAAGGTTTAAATAAAGTGGGACAGTTTATTGGTTTAAAACAGCTGGTTGCATTGAGTTTAGAGTTTATTTCCTTTGCGATGCAAAATAAGAAACACAGAATCTTGTTCTTGCAACATTTTAAATTTGTATTGCCAAAGAAATTGCAGCTTAATTAAACAATTAAAACAGTACAAAACGAACAAAACGACATAAATTAAGAACATGCGTTTTTCTTTGCCTCTCTCTTGCGCTGAATCTCTTTTTAGCAAAGTTTATTTTGTCTCCCTCCAAAAAAAAAAAAACCTGTAACAAATTATTTTGCCTTTGTTGCTTCAAAGACTCAGCATGCCTTGTTGTATTCACTTACAATAAAACGAGGTTGAATTAAAGAGCTCTTTATCTGCTTCGTTTCGTCAACATGTTTAGATAATGCCAGATTGTTGACAATCATACACACTGCTTCAAACATTCTAAAACTTTATAAAAACAGTTGAAACAACTGGATTGAACACTTTAATTTAAATTTTGTGTGAAAAACTTTAAATACAAAAAATACACTATATTTATAATTAAATAAGATATAGGGCCTACATTTGGACACATCGAGAGATTTATCCTTAAAAGAATTTAGCCTTTGCCTGCTCATTGGGCTGCTATCCGACATCTCCATATGAAAGACGAACATTAACACCTATTGTGCACGCACGATAAAGCCACTGTCCCTCCAAACCCCCACAGGCTCTGTGAGTCTGAGACTGACTTAAAACAAGAAGTCGCAATTCACACTTAAACCGCTATTAGACATTAGCATTAGGCTATTAAAGTGTTGATAATGAAGGAATTAAATAATGTGAGCTACA